CCCCAAAACCCCAAAACCCCAAAACCCCAAAACCCCAAAACCCCAAAACCCCGTATGGCTAATTCCGTGTTGATCGCGTTTATATTAAGAAATAACCTAATAGATATATAATATATTTTTAAACATGCCAAACTTTACTATCGAACAGATTAGAGAGATCATGTACAAGCCTGATAACATCAGGAACATGTCAGTTATTGCCCAGTAAGTTAACCTTTATCTTAACTTTCTTAGTGTTGATCATGGTAAATCTACCTTGACAGATTCGCTCATTGCTAAGGCAGGAATCATTAAGGAGGATAAAGCTGGAGAAGTCAGAGCTACTGATACCAGACAGGACGAGCAGGACAGAGGAATCACCATAAAATCTACCGGTATCTCATTGTACTACGAGGCTGACCCAACCGGACTTGACAAGGCAGAGAACAAAGAAGGATTCTTGATCAACTTGATCGACTCTCCTGGACACGTCGATTTCAGTTCTGAAGTAACTGCGGCCCTCAGAGTAACTGACGGTGCCCTCGTTGTCGTCGATTACGTCGAAGGTGTCTGTGTCCAGACCGAGACTGTCCTCAGACAAGCCCTCGCTGAGAGGATCAAGCCAGTGCTCATGGTCAACAAGATTGACAGAGGTATCCTCGAACTCGAGGCCGAAGGAGAAGATATGTACCAACAATTCGCAAGAGTAATTGAGAGTATCAACGTTATCATCTATACTTACGAGAAAGCCGGAAAGGACGCTGAAGCTGCTGCCCTCGAAGACCAAAAGGCTACCGATGGAGATGATGGTGAAGAAGAGAAGAAGGAAGAAAAGAAAGAAATCAAGAAAGCATCCATGGGAGAATTGCAAGTTAGCCCAGTTGGCGCCACTGTTGCCTTCGGATCCGGATACTACGGATGGGCCTTCACCCTGACCAAGTTTGCCAGAATCTACTCCGAGAAATTCGGTATTGACCAAGACAAGATGATGTCTAAACTCTGGGATGACAACTACTATGATGCTGAAGCCAAGAAATGGAAGAAACATGACAAGCCAGACAAAGGCGACGCCCCACTGACCAGAGCTTTCGTCCAATTCATCATGGACCCAATTGTCAGACTGTCCAGAGCCGTCATGAACGACCAGCCCAAGAGAGTCTGGAAAATGTGCAAGGCTTTGAACATTGAAATCAAAGAAGCCGAGAAAGAGAAGGTTGGGAAAGAACTTTTCAAGTTGATCTTCCAGAGATGGCTCAACGCTGCAGACGCTCTATTGGAAATGATTGTCATGAGTCTCCCATCCCCAAGAGCAGCCCAGGCATACAGAGTTGACTATCTGTACGAAGGACCGTTGGATGATGAGTGCGCTAATGCTATCAGAAACTGTGACCAAGACGGTCCATTGATGGTGTTCATCTCTAAAATGATCCCAACCAACGATAAAGGAAGATTCTACGCTTTCGGAAGAGTCTTCTCTGGTATCGTAAGATCAGGAGAGAAAGTCAGAATCATGGGTCCAAACTACACTCCAGGAAGCAAGACCGACTTGAACATCAAGAGTATCCAGAGAACTGTGCTCATGATGGGAGGAAAGGTCGACCAAGTTCCAGATGTCCCATGTGGTAACACTGTCGGACTTGTTGGTATTGATCAATATCTCATGAAGCAAGGAACCCTCTCAACCTCAGAAGCCGCCCATAACATCAAGGTCATGAAGTACTCAGTGTCTCCAGTCGTCAGAGTCGCTGTCGAAGCCAAGAATGCTTCTGACTTGCCAAAACTCGTTGAAGGACTTAAGAGACTGTCCAAGTCAGACCCATTAGTGCAGTGCTCAACCACTTCATCAGGAGAACACATCATTGCTGGATGTGGAGAACTCCACGTTGAGATCTGTTTGAAGGATCTTGAAGAAGAATTCGCTAAGATCCCAATCAACAAATCAGATCCGGTCGTATCCTACAAAGAAACCGTGACTGTTGAAGAGAAGTCTGAGACCTGCTTGGCCAAGTCACCAAACAAGCATAACAGAATCCACATGCAGTCTGAGAGACTCGGTGAAGAACTCTCCAACGAAATTGAAGAAGAAAAGATTGGTCCCAAAGGTGATGTCAAGGTCAGAAACAGAGTCCTCGTCGATGAGTACGATTGGGACATCAACGAAGCCAAGAAAATCTGGTTCTTCGGCCCAGACAACATGGGACCAAACATGCTTGTGGATACCACCAAGGCTGCTCAGTACTTGAACGAAATCAAGGACTCCATGAACAACGCCTTCCAGTGGGTAACCAAGGAAGCCCCTCTCACTGATGAAAACATGAGAGGAGTCAAGCTCAACATCATGGATGTAACTTTGCACGCTGATGCTATCCACAGAGGAGCCGGTCAGATCGTCCCAGCTGCCAGAAAAGCCATGTTCGCTGCTCACTTGAGCGGAGGCCCAAGACTCCAGGAGCCAGTCTTCTTGGTCGAAATCCAGGCACCAGAAGACGCCATTGGTGGCATCCACACTGTGCTCAACAGAAGGAGAGGAGAATACATTGACGAAGAGCAAGTCGAGGGAACCCCATTAAAGATCATTAAGGCTTACTTGCCAGTCGCTGAGTCCTTCGGGTTCACCCAACATTTGAGGACTGAGACCTCCGGAAGAGCTTTCCCACAGTGTGTCTTCGATCACTGGGAAGTCGTCAACTCAGACCCATACAAGGAAGGAACTACTTCATTCGATATTGTTAAGGAAATCAGAAAGAGAAAGGGACTTAAGGAAACTTTGCCAGTTCCAGAAGACTATACTGACAGAATGTAAATTCTTCATACATAACCAAGGTTTAATTCTACTTTGCTTTGTTGGAAGGGGTTAAGATACGAGGTTTCACCATTAGTTTTACTCAAAATTTTAATATATATAGAGCTTCAATTCACTCTATGATCTCCGGGGTTTTGGGGTTTTGGGGTTTTGGGGTTTTGGGGTTTTGGGGTTTTGGGG